AGCACGGTTATCCTGCAGACAAAGGCTATTGAAGACTTCAGTCTGTTGGAGATATTTAATAACTCATCAATTAAGACCACATACCATGGGGAGGAGACACGCAGAGTGACACACACCGTGAGGGACACTGTGACAAATTTACAAGGAAATTTCGATATTGTATTTGTGTGCATTTGAAATAGGAAAATTGAAAATTGCAAATACATGGTATAGAATAATTTTCACGACCTTTTTTTATGCACTTGTAAATCTATTGAATTAGGCTTACTGTACTACTGTTCTGTTGTACTGGAGAGATTAATTTGCACTCAACCTGTGACCATTTAACAAATTGACCTTTGAAAGGTCAATTTCAGTATGGGTTGTAACAAATCAAATGTTATATTCGCTAGTCCAAAAAAGAGCAAGCTTACAAGTCATCTTTGTACCTCAATGATTGACTCACTAACTCTCTCAGCCGGGCAGTGCCATCGTATTGGATTACCATGTAACGCCAATGAATGGGCTAAATCTCGCCCATTAGATGCATCAGTCTATTTGCGATATGGCAGACATTATGAGGGCGCTGTTTGATTTGTAAATTCTTTTGTATTTACCCAAACCAAACACCAACCCTCCATTGTGGCCGCCATGTCGCAAATAGGCCAGTTAAAAAAACTTCTAGCGAATAGCTATTCTTGAATCCATTGGCTAGATTTTTAGGTTCTGGGCCCAATTTCATAGCGGACCGTAAGCAGAAAGCAAAGCAAAATGCACGCTTACCTCGGAGGAAACAGTTGCTTAAATCGGTGACGTAACAAATATCCATGCGCGCGCAACCGTTAGCGCGTCCGCCCCATGAAATAGTAATAGGCAGATAAAGTGATGGGATTGTGCCTTTGATGATAAATGCTTGGCATTTGGCACACAGAATATATCACAAAAAAATATAAGGCTTGAGGGCCATAGCAGATTTCTCCTTTGAAAAAACATATTATATAACATGCATTGGCAGCCATTTTGAATAGTTTGAAAATTATTTGTTATTCTACCTATATTTTGTCAAAGGACAAATCTGCGATGGCCCTATAGCCAAATATCTTTCACCGTTGTGTGAAAAGCTATGCTTGTTTTATCAAAGGCACAATTCCCCAAATATTTCCCCTATCTGCCCCACTTTATAGTGCATAAGGTTAGCACAACTTTTCTGCTAACTGTTAAGCATGCACAGCGCCATAAAATAGGGCCCTGGTGCCAGCAATCGTAGCCTTGGCTTCTTTGTTGCATGCATTTCGAAGCACAGTACATGTACGTTGGCAGGCCCTCAATGACCAGCAAAAATACAAGCAGTAGAGATAAATGCGGGGTGTAATAAGAAAACCACATGAAATTGATGGAACGGCGAGTGATGTCATTAGTTGGAATGAACCTCACCGCGTTTGAGCGAGCATGCAGCGCGGGCATGCCGGCCACAGCCCTGCCGTCGGTCCCCGGTAGGCATATCACGCGCCGTCGGTAATTAAACTCCATTTTTCCCCGGCCTATAACCAGCCCATTTATCACTCAAACTCATTATACTAGTACACCGCGTTGATTAAAAGAAAAGGCTTCGCCACGCTAGCATGTCAAATATGTGTCTTTTGCTACTTCATCTCTAATCTGAATTGCTTGAAGTTGGCATATTTGATTAGCTTTGTCGAGTTGTAAATGATACGGATTAGTCATAGAGTGATGGATTCTCTCTGGTGCTGATTATAATGTAGCCAGCACTTTTCTGCTTAAATGCATATTTACTATTAATGTAATTGTAGTGGCTTTTGGCGCTTTTGATTTAAATCTATGCTAACTTGTATACGTGTATCATAATTATGACTAGGCATTGTAATGTAATGCACCCTTGAGCAGACATATCCTGGAGAGAGCGAATATAAGTTCAGTACATTGTTGAATGATTATACTGTATGGTGGTAATGTTACTTTAAGCTGGTATCGAAGAGAGTGTTAGTCTATAATCTTCGTGGTACCTCCCTGACTGACTGTCATTTGTAGGCTGGGCAGTGCTATCGCATAGGATTGCCCCGCAACGCCAATGAATCTGCCAAATTCGGCTCATTGTGCACACAGATAAATGAAAAGACTTCCAGTGAATAACCATTCATAGATACCTCAGACAGTTTACCCATTCCTATTGGTTGAGAGCCCGTCACGTGCCCGGTTTCCGAAACGGTTGATAAAGACCGGCTGGCTGGTCTGAAAAACTACTATTAAATCCGGTGCCTTTTACCGTTTTATTGGTTGAATGTTCACAATCTTTCAAGTTTTGATTTTTTTTGACCAAAAAGGTATTTATGAATGAGAATAAATGTGTGCTTGGCCGGTCTTGAACACTCTGTTTAAGATCTGTTGGAGTCTGGATGCTGATAATTACCCTAGCCGAAAGCGAGGGTATTCATCAGCATCCAGGGCCCAATTTCATAGCGCTGCTTAACAACCAACTTTGTGCTTACCGAGCCTCCATCTATTTCATAGGGACTGTTAAGCAGTAAGCACAACAAAAGCACGCTTAACCCAAGAAGAAAACTTTGCTTAAATCAGTGACGTAACAATAGAAATCTCCATGCGCGCGCAACCGTTGGATGCGCGGGACCTTGGATCAGTTCTACTTGGCTTGTATTGTCTTGTTCAGGATAAATAATTCGGTTAAACCTAAAGGGGCCGGGGCGGATTCCGCCCCATCCCCCTCGACTTTTTCCGCGATAGCCTTTAAAAAAAAAAAATTCGCGACCCGAGCTGTTATGACTTTTTAGCGTCAAGCCTTGCGCATCTTTTGACACCAAAAATATAAAAATCAGACCAGGGGTTGCCGCGCAGCGAAAATAATTTCCTGCGCTATGCGCCGTGAAAACTTAATTTTCCCATATACGTCGTGTACACAGACCAGAATTACCTTTCGTACATATGAATAATTAATTAGCCATAATTCCAAAACCTTTTGACCTATAGTCATGAAATTTCTTGGGTATGTTTATGAAGAGTTGCTCTATGCATGTACGTAGTTTCAAAAATTTTCGTGACTCGATGGCCGAGATCTTACGGGGGGCGGAATCCGCCCCCCCCCCCCCCGGCTGAGAGATGGTCAAAATGACCCGGCCCTTTTAGGGTTAAGGATTATCATTTCAATGTGAATGTGATAAAATAAGAACTAGAGTTTACACATCGACGTGGCTAAAAAATATCGAACCATAAAATGCATAGTTTTTGGACGGCTATGCCACGTTATGAACCTTATTATGATAAATTTCGAACGTGCCGTTCATGAGAAATATCAAGTTTTTGATCGAAGGGTACTTAACGTTGACGGTGCACAGGAAAGGGTGTGTTCTTTTGACTGTCCAACCGAGTGCACTTAGCGTGGACGTTTATAATTCAAAACTAAATTGTACTAATACTTGACGTGGGAGAGCCAAGATCTAATCTTTCATCCATGGTTAACCAATAAGCGAGCATGGTTAACCAATAACAAACATGGTTAACCAATAATAAACCCTAAAGGTTTAACCTCTTTTAATCTTGCTGAAGTACATGTATATAACTTTGCTAAGCGAATCAACAGCTAGAAAACAACGGTAAGGGATTAAAAAGAAGATTAACGGAGCACCGATTTCAGATGAGGAAGATTTGATTAAGGAAGATGAAATAAAAGTATAAAGATAAAGATTATAAATATCATAAAATATCATAATCTAAACAGGCTATTTGCACAGTCCTCTGATCTACAGCTGCACAAAAAAACTTAATCAATAATTATGTCTAATACAAAATAGGGTTTAAAAAGAAGCAAAAAAATTAAAATGGATGTATTAAATTTAAAAGGACCCCACCTAATGACCAGTTCTTTGTGTGCGACTACGCCCATGTTCATTTACTCAGGTGTAACTCATGGAGACGAGTCTAATTTCCTTTTCTCAATGGCGCCATTAATTGCGCTGGGGGCTCTTTTGTACATCGCTGGCAGAGACCTTGGCACACAATGGAACGCCTTGAGTAACGTTTACGGTGGAGAAAAGTTCACGGTTTGGTGCACACGCTTTCCTGGCAACCTTGCTAGAAAACGAGTAGTCATCAAATAAATAGCAAGGGCGTGTGATGGATTTTTGTGTACTTGAATTTTTCGATAATAGGTTTGTTTCATGCCAATTTTAAGCAATGGGTATTAAATGTTACATATTAAAAGAAATAGTAAATAAGAGTATGTTTCGTTGCATTTTCTGTATAAAATACAACGTTTTAGAAACATGTTTGCAATTCAATTTTGTTGGGCTTTTTTGTTATTTATAATTAAACATTCAGGCTTCGCTTCATTTTAAATATTCATGAACAAAATTGTGACGTCATCTGTCACCACTCCTTCACAATCATCTGAATTTTGGTAGTTGTTTTTTTTTTTTGGGGGGGGGGGTACTAAGGCTCGATGTTACAACCTCATGACGGTGTAGTCATTCAAAAAATACAGAACAACCCAGACTATCATATATATGTCTGTGTAATAATAATCTCACGTTCTCTGCATTGCTAAGTTTATGTTAATTCGGTGTTTTCATTTTAATGTAAACACATACCAGTAACAAAGTTGGTTGCTGCAACCAACATCGGCTCATAAATTTTAACATCGATACATCCGGGTGCACTTTCAGCGCCTGTTGACCTTTGGAATTTGTAGGAAATTGGTAGATCACTAGGATTATTGCTTTAAGCAAATAGAGTCGGCGATGAATGTTTTCCTTTTTAAACTCTTGCGGGGCTGTAGCGTTAACATGAAACGGTTTTTAAGAGTTCGTTCCCATGTACACTGACCCCCTTTAATTGAGAAAGGATTATGCAGGCTGTTATACAAAGGAAGTGTAATATGATGGATTATCTGAACAATAGCTAACACATTGCTTGCGCCATTGAAGAAGCCCCTGCGTTACCAGCAATTTCATGCCCGGGTTGATCTATAGCCTACCTATTCATCTACGTCATATTTGGCATTGCAGGTTTCACAACGCAGCGAGTGACTTTAACTGGTAGTGTTTACGCTGTTGATGGGAACGGATGCATGCCTAACACGTGGAGTTTGCCGGTGCATGACGACAGAGGTTTCTGGCGTCGCGGCACGCTATTCTGGCCAAATTTCGTCCATTGCGCATTTAGCACTCAGCGGTGTTGCAGTGACAAGTCAATTGGAATTGTAGTCATACGTGACTAAAATGTAAAGTTTGCTAATACTGATGTGTGAACTGTATCTCCTCTGCATTGAAATTCTGGCTTGTGAATTGACTTTAGGCGACACTCTGAGCAAGCTATTGAATGAAGGTGTGACTACGAAATAAGAAGCATCTCTCGTTCATTTGGCAACTCAACTCACCAGTGTTGGTGTGATTGCCAATTGACACTGTGGCCACTGAATGTAGATGTTGTCAGTGCCTTTTACTGTGTCAATTGACCCTCAGTATGTCGCCTCAACCATAATGTTGTGCCTTGTGAATTAACAGGCAATAAGAAGATGCTATGTGGCGAGTGATGATTAAAGTGGCGACTGAGTATGGAGATGTGACGACTGAATTAAGAAGCTACCAATCATTAAATCACATTATTCTTGGCGTGTGATCGGATAATATATGGCAACTTGATTGACATGATGTTTTGAACTCCGTGGCAAACAGTTTACCATCGTGAACAACTAGTGAATTTGCTCGACAACATGGCGTTCACTACGTTACAGCCTCTACCGGATTATCTGAAGGCAACCAACTACACAGTGCTGTACCAGGACAAACCACCCACACGATGGGACGACGCGACGTGGATTCTCACGAGTGCCTTCATTATCTTCACCATGCAGTCTGGATTCGGCCTCTTGGAGTCGGGCAGTGCCTCACAGAAGAACGAGGTAGGTTGCAGTCTATTTGAAAACTACTCGGCCTTTTGCTTGGATAGCAAAAAGAAAAGAATGTAGTATCCAGACGCCAGACGCCTTTTTAATTAAAGTATTTTTTATCAAAATTGGAAATATTTCTCAGTCCCAGATTCATGTCTCTTCAACATATTTGCAAAGACTGACCTTCATGGTGATAATATAATATATGATGAAAAACGTGGGGTCAGGATGCAAAATTCTTTACAAAACGTTAAAAGATTAGGGGTACACTGGGTTTGGGGGTTTTGTCGTACTAGCAGGGGGCCAGGAAAACTTTTAGTAAAAAAAGTGGGGTCATATTCATTTTGATTTACCTACGAATTACACCCCGATATGATTCGTGATATATTAGTGTACCTTTTTTTTTCAATAGTAGAAAACTCGGAAAGCTTTCCATATACGAAGTCCACTCAACACCCTGTGTACAAACCCTATGAGATTGGACTGAAAAATTCTAAGTGTTTTCTAAGAAAATGCTTGTATTTTCTCACTGCTCAAATTGACTTTGATGAAATAAAATTGCTATCTGGGGGCTTGTTAGTCAATACAGAGGAGAATTAGTGAACTTCGCATATGGTAATCTTGCCGAAAAGGGAATCGAAATGGAATAAAGGACAGTATTCTGTAATTATCCAAAATTTGTTTAATGAAAACGAGGCTGCACTTGCGAAACAATGGTGCGTTTCGAAACATCGGCCTTGTCTGCATCAGCTTCGGTTTAACTCTGGTTAGAGAATCTGCTAACCAAAATAGAAACAAGACTAGGCAAAGTTGTTAAGCTTGTCCAAGAGGGAAAGATTCCCATATCTGGCCATCACTTGTCACCCTGCTTACAAACCGCATGAGACTGTCCTGAAAATTGCTGTGTTTCGCAGTCAATACTTCCATATGTAAGAATACACTAAGGCCGGTTTGTCAATGAAGCCACTTTTTCATTTCATCCAGTATATAAATAATGAAAAGTTTGCGGAAACACCATGTGTGAATAATTTCTCAACTAAGAGAATGGTTCTGAAAAGAACCAGAAGTATAAACTCGACGTTCCGGTCAGTATGCTCAGACCGTCTTCAGGAGAGTGGACGGTCAGAGCATACTGACCGGAACGTCGAGTTTATACCTCTGGTTCTTTTCAGAACCATTCTCTTAGTTGAGAAATTATTCGCACATGGTGTTTCCGCAAACTTTTCATTATTTAGTATCTCCACCATGCAAAGCGTCAAATCTTATTCATCCAGTATGCTAAATTGTACACTTTTGCTCTCCATATTTCAACAGGTGAACATCATGGTGAAGAACGCAGTGGATGTCTTATTTGGCGGGATATCATACTGGATGTTCGGTTACGGACTCAGCTTCGGTCATGAGAATTCCAACCCCTTCGTGGGCGTGGGGGATTTCTTCATGGACCGCGAAAGCTCGGACGACGATCTGGGAGACGACTTCGCCCACTTCTTCTTCCACGCCTCCTTCGCCACCACGGCCACCACCATAGTGAGCGGTGCTATGGCAGAGAGAACGAAACTTGAGACGTATATAGTCTTTTCCTTCCTGAACACCGTGGTGTACTGCATCCCAGCCCACTGGATGTGGGGGGAAGACGGGTGGCTGAAGACCATGGGCGCGGTCGATATCGCCGGAGCGGGGGCGGTGCATATGGTGGGCGGTGTCACGGGGCTCGTGGCTACTTTGATCCTGAAGCCTCGGACGGGCAGATTTGTCGAGGGATGCGAAGCACCCCAGATGGGATCGGCTACCAACGCCATCTTCGGACTCTTCATGTTGTGGTAAGTTGATATTGTTTGATCATTGATGTTAGACTTTGTTGGTTGAACTGTAAGCTGTCAGTTGTGCATTTTATGACCGTTAATTTTGCCGGAATTAACGAGTACATACCGCTACAATGAACACTGCTATAACGAACACTTTATGACGAACATTTGGTTATCACGAAATATATGGTTATAACGAACACGTGGTTATTGCAAAAAGTTGGTTATAACTAATATTTGGTAATAACGAACACCGCACTCCCTAGCATGATTTACTAGGAACCATACCCATCCTGGCAAATTACAACACCATATGGGAAACTGCACACACATATTTCTGACTTTGTTTCTGGAGGTGTGCCAACCCAATGTAAAAGACTGTCAGTTTAGGGGTACTGTACCCATCCTGACAGATTCCAAAAAACATGCTGTTGGGGTTTGATGGGTTGAGTTCTTTTAGGGATAACGAACATTTGGCGTTAACGGACATCCAATCCCTATTGGCGCCCGAAATATATTTTTTTTTTTTCCGTAGTGTATAGTCACCAACAACATTTCTGAACATATAAAGCTAGATCACGAAATATCCATCGCATCGGTACTACTATTCAGAAGGGGAAATAAACTTTCCCTTCTACGTTAAAAAGAGTGCTAAACAATTCTCAATAAATGCACCGTACCAATAAAAACTGAATAAGACAATGGCGTAAAATCCGTGTGGGGTGGTGACTGAAAGGACAACTTGGCACAGAATGTATGTTTGCATAGGAGGGTTAATGTTTTCAAACGAAATGGTTTCCGGGTTCGGGTGGAAATTACCGTGTCTGTTCAGGAAAGCGTCAGATGAACCATACACTGCCTGTATTGTAGGACACTTTATGTGCGCTGCAGGTTGAGTAAAGACAATTTCAATCACAAATCGATGTAAATTAAAGTTCAAGATTACATCCATTGGCGAGATTGACAACTCAATTACTCGATTTATCTCAACCCCGGCTCCTTAAAGACAATGTGTTTTCGTTTTTCTAATAGCCGGCCATGGAATCCACATACGCCATGGCTGTAGCTATTGGCAACGGAAACAATTTCCTGAGCATTAATCTTGCATGAAGGACCTGCGGGAATGCGCGTGCGCAGTGCAAATCTAGGCCAACACGGTCACATATTTCCATGTTTGTGTTTATTATTTCGTCTGGTAGGTCATAATCAAGCGTAGAAAAAATGTTCTGTAGCGGTTATGCGCTCTAGACAATTACCTATAAGTAACTTGCATTTTTATTGTTCAGGCCCACCTTTACACAAATTCGATAATACACTGTTATTTTTAGTCTGTATTGTTGGTTTGGGTATCCCTTTGGGGACCGTGAAGCAAAATAAAAGCACGCTCTGGACGCACCTGCCCATGTACATCAGATGAGAAAAAGTCCCGTGCACTAGGCCTGTAGTATACACATAATGAATATTCATGAGTGCATTGGTAGGAATAATTTTTTTTTTTAGGTGACAGATGGAAATGTTCCATTTTACAAAGTGAGCCCGTGTGGTATACAAATAATGAATGTTTTTTAGTGCAATGGTAAGAATAATTTCATGAGATGACAGATGAAATGTTCCATTCCACGAGGCGAAGCCGAGTGGAATGGAACATTTCATCTGTAACCGAATGTAATTATTCTTTCCTTTGCACGAACGTGAAACATTCATTATTTGTTTTATATAACGCCTGAGTAAATCCTTGTCATCTGATTGGTTGACTTTTAATAGCCAATTTATTCAGGTTAAAAACTGTTAAAAAGTTCGACAAGTTCATCATATTTTTATTAATGCAAACTGTTTAACAGGTTGAGAACAATCGTATTAAATTTATCTCGATTTAAAACAGTGACACCGTGCAATGGAAGTACTATTCTCCGTGCAATAGAACTTGGTGTTGTATAAAATAGAACATTGCATCTGTAGCCTCGTGAAATAATTCTTTACATTGCACCAACGTGAAACATCCATTTTTCCCTTTATACAACACCTGAATAAGTCCTCGTCATCTGATTGGTCAGAGCCACCAATAGTGTGACCTGCAATGGAACTTCTGTTTGCCGTAAAATACAACTTCTACGTTTGCGTTGCGGCCGATCCGTGCGTTGAAACGAATAATTCAATGACACGTGATCAACGTCCCTCCGATCAGATGACGGAGATGTATTTAGGATATTGCAATATGCCTTTTGGGTTGATTGGCCACAGTTATTTTTCGCCCAGGGCTCGATTTCTCGGCCCTGCTAACGACGAAATGCTTGCTTATGATCATAATTGTTTTCTTAGCAGTACCAGCACAGACATTCTGAGCTAACCGTTAACCACAGAAATCTCGTGTACTTCGCATGAGGTTGAAATTTCTTAACAAATCGCAGAATGCGCTGACTGTTAAAACCTGCCGCGGCTTAGCGCAGACTCGCTGCAAGTGGATACCAGATTTTGAGAATGGCCCATGGATCTCCACACTTTCAGCCAAATTGAGTTAGACCAAGCAGATAACTGATCACACAATAGTATATCAAACGTGTGAAAGATAGGCCCAACTTATCACTCAACACAGACATTTTGTGTACATTTAAGCAAACGATCCTAGCTTGAAAAAAAAAAAACACACACACACACACCTCGTTTTTACTATACTCATGAGGACCTTATCCTTTCCTTCTGTTGTCCCCTTTCGTCTGTACTTTTTCTCGACAGCTCCCATAAGGTTTGTGAACTGATTCTCCCGAGGGCTTCGGCCCAGGTCCTCGACCCATTGAATCGCACACACCCCATTGTCCCAAGTCCTCAGTCTGAATAACCAACCCGCGCATGTACTGTCGTGTTCTATACTCATGAGGACCTGTTCTTTCCTTCTGTGTTCCCTTTTTGTTTATACTTTAACTTTTTCTCGACAGCTCCCATAAGGTTTGTACACGAAATTCTCCCGAGGACTAGCGCCCAGGTCCTCGGGCAGTATCGGGCTCATTGTTTTTGCACACACCCCATTGTCCCAAGTCCGCAGTCGTATAGTGTAACCTGTCCACAATGTTTAATTTTCTCAAAAACATTCACCTTGGAGTTAGGCCCTTCTTTCAGGCGGGTATTGATTTGTTAATTCTGTCTGTCGCCTGGTATTGGATCATTTGCATGTTCAAACTTATATTGCACATTATATGTAAACATGAAATAGTCTGGTGCCCGGCCATGCTTTAGAGCAGTGGGTTTTTTTGGTATGCGGTGCCTAGGGTACAGACCAATCAAATCGTCGTGGTGTAACATTGGAAAACACATGATATTTTTGTATGTAAAAATTGTAATGTTATCGTTTCGGTTTGCGGTAACACCTAACGGTAAAAAGAGCTTAAACATTGGTTTTAGCAATTAGATTTTTCCTGAGAAAGGTCTTGACAGAACCGAAATTTTAAGCCATTTAATTTAGTAAGTGGTTTGCAGTAGTTGCATTCATTTGTAAATTAGTGTATTGGGTGAGTTGACACTTCATAGTAATGGTAAGGGATCTTTTAAGAAATTGAAACGAACGAGTGAGGTTCAGGCTGCACGCGATTTCAAGGGGGTTCCCAAATCCACCGCAATTCAACCTTCGAGCTTGTCATGTATAACTGCTCCCTTGCGTGAGTGCGTGTGCGGCAATTATGTCCACGTAATGGCTTGATAATGGTTTCCCTCTTCTCTTAAAAATTAATGAGGTTTATCCTTGGCAACTACTAATTGTGCAGATGGCGACCGAGTGTTTTACGCTCAGTGACGCGGTAATCTACTTAATTGCTGCGCTGTGCGCACGCGCGGACCATTCTGGTCTACCGAGTAAACAATGGAGGTTCGTGTACACTCTTAAAACAACACTCTCTGTCAAAATACTGACTGTTTTTTCTAGTTCTTGAGAAGGCTGCCAATGTATTCTTAATAGAAAATGCACGCTGATGGCAGAGCTTTCAAGTATCTCGATTTGTATTCACCTTAGGTGTTCAAGTCTGTATCCAAAGGGACTAGAAATATCTGGGAAATTTGCCATGTTTTCAGTCACAACCTTCTACCCCTGTAAAGGCGTGTTCAAAACCCTGTTCTCGAGTGACCCGCGAATAGTGTCTAGAGTTGTCGATTACAAACGCCCAGTGGAGACGGTGCAGCTGGGCGAAAATTCAAGATGGCAGCCGCCGCATAAAACTCCAAATTAAATGAAAGGAAAACATAATGATCTTTAAATGATTTTAATCCCGAAACAGCTTTACAAATTCGCATTGACAATTTAAGCCCACTGTTTGATCACGTATAAAAAAAAAAATTATCTTTTATACTGCTCCTGCATTGGTTGGGTGCTTTCACTGTATGCACAAAATTAGCAGAAGTTCCAAAGGGGCTTAGTCCGCCATCTTTGTTCATTCTTCATCTACTCCCCAATAAGTGGGGAGTAAAAAACCTGTTCGCGAACACCGTTTGCGTGTTGGTTCTCGTCTTTCAAAACCCAGTTCTCGTGTCCATTCAACACGAATACGGGGTTTCGATTACGCCTCAATGTCTAGGCGGTATAAAAGTCTGAATTTTCATATTTGGTTTCGAGACAAATTTTGTTCGCCTCATTGATTTGAACTATCAGACATTATCTTTTTAAAGGGAATGTACAACATTTGCTTCTGCTGCAATTTTCAGAAATATTCCAACGCTGGTCGGCCGACCAGCGTTGGAAAAATACAATTTTTCTTGAAAATGTCAGCACACCAGGAGCCACGATTTTACAGGATGTTTTAGAGTGTCATTCCCTAACAATCCAGTAAGGTATTTCGTGATAATTTGATCATTTCGTTTTGTGATGTTTGCAAATGTTGTATCTTCCCTTTAAAGAGAAACTGTGATTTGAAATTGCCATACTCCTAGTCGGAACCGAAATCCCATTCCGAAGGCCCCCTTTAATGGCTGAATCCTTTTGCAAGATACTGTTCAGATAGTCCGGTATGGGGCAGCTACTTTGTACAATAGCT